TAGGACATTGATTTTGAAACTTTATCTTTAAACAGAGTTTATTTCTTAGCATAACATACATGCGTTACATTTCTCTTAATTGTGCGCAACCTGATATAGTTTTAGGTTTTACATTTTTGCAAGTGTGAATGTTTCTCGGATTTATATTGTTTATTTTTTCTGTGTTTTTCTCTCTTTACATACATTTTTTTTATAATCTTCCTAAAATCCAGTTCTTATCTTGAAGTAGCAATATATACTAGGATTGTGGATATCGAATTAAATCTGAAATATTCATATCTTATCAACATCTATATTATAGATGTATCTTATTTTATATATCTTTCTTTACATATATTTACAAGTGTGCAATTAAATAGTATATAAGCATTGCTGAAGTTAACTGTATATAGAATTTAGATTTTGCTTGTTAAAAATTACTGTTGATTTTATTTTAAGATTGAAAGGCAAAGTAAAAAAAAATACATTATATGAAGCATTATTATATCATAAAATTATATGTGTAAGAGAATTTTTGGTATTTTTATCAGTAAACATAATTAGAGATGTGTGTAATATATATTTATAAAAAATTCCTAATTTTTTTGTAAGATAATGATATTAACTTATGTATTCATGTAATTAAATACTACAAACGTAAGCAATAATTTAAATGGTATACGCAAAATTAAGGTGCCTTTTTACATTTTATAGTTTCAATTACATAAAGAAATGCTTAAAAATAAGACTCAAAATTCATTAATTAATTTGTTATATAACGAAATAGACAAAAATGCATATTTGTATGTGCCTTTTAAAAGGCATAATTTATATAATAACACGTGTAAAAGCGTATTATATGTAAAAATCTCATGTAGTTTAAGCCTTGATATAGTTAATTTGAGCTGTCCCAAAGTTTTCAAATTAATATCATTTTTGTATCGCTATTAACAATTAACAATCGAAAGTTACTCTTTTTCACTTTTGCACAATATTCTGTTATATTATCATATACACAAATTTTGGACTTGCATGTCTACTAGCTTTAATTATATTTATATTTTAACTGTATACATTATAAAAAAAAATTATATTTCAAATTTATTCTTTTAATTTTTAAGAAGCAAAAATACCATTTATCTAATAGACATTGTCTATAGACTTATGACAAATTATATTTTCTATAAAAGGAACTAAATAAAAAAAATAAAAATTTTGATACAATAAAATGACGCCCTTGTTATTCGTTGTCACTATAAGTACAACGTATCCAGAAGAAAATTCCTTTATATCTTATCATAAAATTTTCCCCTACAATGAACTTTTACTATGGAATTATAAACACCTCGCTCGATGATTCTATTTTCGCTATTTCAACATCTTAATACTTTCATAAAAATTTTTAAACGTTCACGACAAGAAAACCACTTCCAACAATATCGAAGTATTATATGCAGTTTCATGACGAAGCGAAATATCACTCATCGTTGTGGTAACATCTATCTAACACACGAAGAACTGTCGAAAAGAAACCAGTCATAGACAGCGACTAACAAAGGATAAAGTTCTTTCCTTAATCTAGATCCAGCTGTCTTGTGCTGAGCGTTCCCATGTGTAGTTTCGATGTTCTCATCTTTCTGAATGATTTGAGTAAATCCTCCATCGTGATGGGACGCACGGTATCATGGAATTCTTCGTCGTACTCGTCGTCTGTATTATTCTCATATTTAAGTCCGTCGCTGTAAATTGAACAACATCATAGAAACTGATACAATGTGACTGTAAATTTTGAAATTCACACATAATTCTGAACATAAAGCATTATATTCAATTTTTTTTCTATGAAATATTTAAATATACATACTGCGTGTATAAATAATCTCTAATACGATATATAGACGCGTTTCGACAAAGTTCTTGTAAATCAGATCCAGAGAACCCTTCTGTATGCTTCGTCAATGTTGCAAGTTCTACATTGT